CTGGAGAAATTACTGACTGAGGGTGTTGAAACCAGTACATTGATATATTAATGAATATATACATAGAGTTTAAATGTTTTTAACAACATTCATATGACTTCCAAAAGGTAAGAAGGTCATTGGTCACCTTGAACACTGCTGCATTAATTGTAGTTGGCATATTGCAACCGAACTAATGGCAGCTAAGCCTTTGCTGAAAATCAAGCAGTCGTGCCATAACTGCACTTTTGCTGAGCTACCCTGACACTTCTATACTGTAGAAAATAAACACTATATTTTTGGAAGTCATATGAATGTTGTTAAACACATTTAAACTCTACGTATATATTCATTAATATATCAATGTACTGGTTTCAACACCCTCAGTCAGTAATATCTCCCTCTATATAAGGGGGTTTATGTTGATGGGTGTAGTCCACCAATTATGATCATACAGATGTCAGTGTAGCATGATTTCAATAAATAGGAGACAGGAAGTATAGCAAATCTGAATGGTATTTCTTTCATTCTTTTTGAGCCAAATACACTATTTCATCATTATATGGATATGTTGTATATGTATGTGTATGCATAGGTATATCTATCCCTCCATCTGTCTAGGCAGTTTTGTATAGTGGTTAGGGTACTGACCTAGCAATCCTGCTTTAGGCATGTCTGGCTGAGGAATTCTAGAAGTTGAAGTCAATGCATTTTAAAGTTATCTAAATATTGTCTTAGCATATTATGTGAGCATAGAAACTATGTCTTATGAAAGCTAATATTATGAGAGCTTAGACAGAGGTGGGATTCAGCCGGTTCTGCCTGGTTCAGCCGAACCTGTTGTTAACTTTAGGCCCAGCTAAAAGGAAGGGAATCTATGCTGTGAATACATATTTGAGCATTTAGCTCTGAGGCTTATGTAAAATTATGTGAATCTTACTTTGCTCAATCTTATATGCGATCTTTTTTTTTTTCATGTAGGAGGCAAAATGTTGCCTAAAAATAAACCTCAGCAGAAGAACACATTTATTACTGACCATACCATCGATGCAGGGAGGAAAAATAAGACGGCTTGCCGACTATTGTCAGCAAGAGACCATAAAATTAAACAACTGAAAAGTGAAGCTGCTCTTCTGCAGAATAAATTGAAGACCTTTACTACAGAAAATAATATCTTGAAGCGTCTTCAGTCTAGGCATTTAAAAGCAATCAAGAAATACGAACATGCCGAGATTAACCTGCCTGATCTTTTGGCCACACAGTCTACTGAAGCGCGGACTCTGAGAGCACATCTCAAGCTATCTCAGGAAGAAGAGCGCAGGGCTTCCAAGAAGCTGAGAGATGTTCATGCAGAGCTCTTAAAAACAACAGATGCCTTGCGGGTATTGCAGAAACTTTTTGAGTCCAAGAAACTTGAAGAGAGAGAAGAACTTCACCAAAAATTAACAGCATTTACCCAAAAATTGGAAGCCAGTGAAAAGAAAACCCAGGTAACATGCAACATATATTGCTTAGAACTACATAGCAGGGCTCTGTGAGACCCCTATGGAGAAATGCTTTAAGCTGACTTGCTTCAGCATCCAGTTTGGATCATTTTCTACAGGCACCAACCTTAAGTCACCAAGATTCATTTGATAGTGAAATTAACAGAAAACCTACTCAAGTGGGAACATCAATTTTACACATACAAAATTTAGAAACAAGAACAGCTTCCTCAAAGTTCAGTTTTATTAGGAAATACATTCATATTCATTCTTACATTGTTATCCAGCAATTAGAGACATAGATTTGCTGAATTTATTTCACACTTCAGTTCTTTGGGATTGTTATTTGCTGGAAGAGATAATAATTTCAAACGTCATTGGTAGAATACTTTTTCCCAGCCTTTACCAATAAAACCTAATCATGATAGACGGTGACCAGACCAGCTTTAATTTCCTGACAGTCTCTAGCTTGTCCAGCTGGGAACTGTATGACTTTTTACCAATGACTTCTTCCTTCATCCCAGCTCTAGGAAAACAGATAGAGTAGGACCTTTTTGTATAATGCCAGCTTTTTACAAACCTCTTATCAGTCCCAACACACAAACAGAAGCTACACAACTATGCAATGAGGAAGATTTTAATGATAGATTTCTGTATCAATCAATCAAAATATCTAGATATATAAAAAAACATTATTGGAAAAAAAGAACTGTAGGAAAACAAGGGGAAGTTTATAATTAGACATGTGTAATTGTGTATTAAAATTGATACGGGCATCGTAGCTAAGGTAATTTCTTATGAATCTTATTTTCACCATACGATCAGTGATGAATGTTGTAAAGTACGATCTGGGTGTTTTGAATGGATGTTGAGCCAAACTTGTTTCTCTTCACACTTTCTTTTATTTTTCATATTAGACTCAGTTTTATAGAAAATTGAGGTTTTGGGAAAATGACTCTTGCTTTAACTAGTCAGTTGAAATATTCTATGGCTGATGAACCTAGCTACCACATTGAAAACCATATATTGGGAGGAGGGTGCTGACATCATGACGACACGACATGCGATCTTGGTGCTCCTAGATCACTGTCAAATTTCTGCCACTGGACAGTCCATTTGGACCTAAACTGTCCCACAGAGATGGTGATTGAGAAGGGCCTCTCCTGCTGATCTCATGGACACTGCAAAGTCCATGAAAGATCCAGGAATATCCCTTTTTTCCGGGGACAGAAACACAGCTAATGAAGCTGCTGAAGTTTGGACAGCTCCAGAACGGGAAGAAAGCGGAAAGATAAAGTGTGTCGAATTATTGAGGAAATTTTATTATTAGAGGAAGAGACTACCCAAGAAAAAAATTTGTTAAGTTAAGATTGAAGACAGAAGACTGTAGGCGGTGAGATTGATCTGCATTGAAGTTAGTGTGTTATCCAGTTTCTAATTTATTTCACAGATGGAACTTTTGCAAGGGCTCCCTATTTTTTAAACTGAATGGATTAATTCTTTCTTCTTCTTTTTTCACTTTTCTTCTTCTTTCTTCTTCTTTCTTCTTCTTTCTTCTTCTTTCTTCTT